ATTTTCATCGTATTTCGATTTCTTATATAATTACTGTTAGTACAATCCTTTTTAATCTTTGATTCGATTCTTTTAACAAGGGACGCGAGAGTAGTCTTGTTAATTATAATAGACAGTGATGTAATACGCGATCAAGGAGTAAGATATAATAATCTCTCCTTACAGTTTAAACCTTGGAAATCACGATTATATCCGATAAAGATTCATTCATCCGACTGAGAAGCGAAGCATAAAAGGCGTAAAATGCGTAAAATGCGTAAAAGGGTATGCCTCGCAATTACTTTCGCACCTGTTGCGTCTACAGCTCTTTTATGCGGTAACAGCGAGAAATTTTCATCCATTTTCTCTCATCCATTCTCGATAAGTATAAAAAACAAGATGAAAATCGAACTTAATGTGATATTTAATTTGCCTGGACATTGTTTTCTTTATTGTTTTTTTATACACATTCCGTAAACGAAAAACGATCGCAAATGGCAGTAAACGCAGAGTCAGAGATGTTCATAGTCGATTTTTATATTATTTAAGACTATATCAAGTACAATTTTAAGATGTCATAAGCCAATCACAAGAGCAATATTAGCATCTTAAGATATTAATTTAAGATGACCTTGAAATAAGAACGGATTATGAATACCAGCCAGAGTCAAGAAAATGCGAAATCTTAGCATTCTTTGCACAAATTTCCGTTCTCAGCACTGTTTGATTCTCTTTCGGATTGGAAGTGTAACGTATACATTTGGTTTGTAAACAACTACAACCTTAATAATTGTTTTCAAAAGTAAGAAATTCTCTATGGGAATGTTTGATTACAAATATATCTGCTATATAACTTCCTTTTCTCCTAGCACTGTGGATTTTTTATTAAATTAACTTAAAAAAAAAAACTGTTGTTAGTTTTGCTCCCCTATATCTATCATGTCGAGTGTGAATCCGCATAAAAATATACTATTAGTGCAACAAGTAAATTCGAATAGTGTAATAGTTGTGGAGAAAATTACACTGAAATTTTATTGTGAAAATAAGTATTATTGATTAGCGTCATATTTCAGAGGATACACGACAAAATTATAATAAAAAAAAATTTCTTTTATGAATTTTAGAACTAATAATTTTATGATCGCATATAAAATTAGTTCTAGAATTCATAAAGGAAACTTTTTTTATCATAATTTTGTATCCTCAGAAATATGACGCTAATCAATAATACTTATTTTCACAATAAAATTTCAATGTAATTTTCAGTGTAATTTTCTCCACCACTATTACACTATTCGAATTATTTACTTATTGCACTAGTAGTATATTTTTATGCGGGAGTGCGTGAGTGATTAAAAGAGTGAATGGGTATAAGAATGAGAGAGAGGGAGAGAGGAGAGAGAGAGAGAGTGCATCTGTGATGTACATCATATTCATGTACAAAAAATGATATTATGTGTTATGTATAAAAATGTATAAAAATGATGTTATGTGTATACATAAATTTATACATATTTGATGTTTATATAAAATTGTATATATATGTATACATTAATTATACACAAAATTGGTATTTGTAGAAATTTAAATTAGCAGATTCAAAATAATATGACATATTGATACTCAACATGGGCATTTTAAAAAACAATATCTCGTGTATATACATGTTACTACATAATATACTTATCGTATGTATAGATGCATGGATACATTATAATTATTCAAAATAAAAAAATAAAATATACATTTACTGACATCTGTAGGGATTTGTAAAGTTATCAACAACTGATATTTCAAATAGACCTGATTTCTAGTTACTTTCTTCACGCATAGATGTCGCCAGCTACGAAACCACCTTACGCATATGTTTATTGTTTATAGTTCAACACGTTTCGGAGATTTTTTGGACTGCCTTGGACTTAACGATTACAAATTGTGTTGACAAAATATGTTAATATTAGTTTATATCATATTTTTGACAATTTTCGCTGGTCGCCAGTGCGAAGAACAATTTTGTTCAGCAGAAAACGAAATAAAATCCTGTAAAGAAAATGAGGTTGATCGCCAAAAATCACTGTATACGAAAGGTATTGTTTATTAGAAATTAACTGTAATAATTTTGGAATATATGATACGATACGATGCGATATTGTACATACATATTATAAAATTATCAATCATGTCATCTTTTCTATTTCTAGAAATAAATGAAAAATATAAGAAATATCTAGTGGCGATTCAAAATGCAGAGCAAAACTACAAAGAATGTAATAACACCAAGCATGAGTGCTATAAAGATGTAATCGTACGAGATCTAAGGCCATTTAAAAAGAAGGGCATAAGCAAAGAAATGATTGAAGCTGCTAAAACTAGGTATCTGTGATATATCATATAGATCAGTGTGTGATTTAGACCTGGTTTCATTAATATAAAATTAACTTTAATCTTGGTTCATAAATTTACTCTTTATCTTCTTCTAATTCTATAAATTAGAGAAAAAGATAAATATTTAAGTTAAATCAAGATTAAAGTTAATCTTATATTGGAACCAGACCTTACTGAGCCTGTTTTTCTTGTATTAAACTAAAACTTTCTTTTTTGCTTTAGCCAAATATTGTACTTATACTTATTTTACTTTAAATTCCAAAAGTGTACATTAATTCAGTTATAGAAAACAAATTCAATATTAGTACCTTTTGCCCCTTTCAACTAAATTTTCTAAATTTTATGGTAATTTTACACACAGGGGTACATTTTACCAAATAATCAAAGGTAAATTGTACAGAGAGAAGGATTGCATGTTTCCAGCCAGATGTGCTGGAATTGAACATTTTTTATTAAAGATAATTGGTAATTTATCCAATATGGATTTAGTTATAAATACTAGGGATTATCCTCAATCTAGTGAATATTTTGGAAATGCCATGCCTGTTTTTTCATTTAGTAAGGTGAGAGATAATTCGTATCTATATTCAAAGATTTATAACAAGATACAATTTATAGAGTATATATATTTATACAATTATGTTCTGTTTGTTGAAATTAATAAGAGCTGTGCAGCTTGCAAAATGTATTTATAGACACCACAATATTATGATATTATGTATCCAGCATGGGCATTTTGGGAAGGTGGTCCAGCTATCTCGTTATATCCCCGTGGTCTTGGCAGATGGGATCAACATCGTAAAACTTTGAATAAGGCGAGTTTGGAGATTTCATGGGAAAAGAAAGAAAGTAAAGGATTTTTTCGTGGATCTAGAACAAGTTCGGAACGCGATAATTTGATTTTATTAAGTCGTAATAAACCTCACTTGGTAGACGCTCAATATACTAAGAATCAAGCATGGAAATCTAATGAGGTATTGTTGCATTGTCTTTTAATCATTAGCGGATTCTGTATGTGTAATAACGCGAAATATATAAGACAAAATTGAATTTTATTTTAGGACACTTTACACGCAACACCAGCGTCAGAAGTATCTTTAGAGTCGCATTGTACATATAAATATTTATTCAATTTTCGAGGCGTGGCAGCTTCATTTCGACATAAACATCTATTTTTGTGCCGATCACTAGTCTTTCACGTCGGCGACGAGTGGATGGAATTTTATTATCTTGCCATGAAACCATGGATTCATTACATACCCGTTCCCAAAAATGCAGATCAAAAAGAGTTTGAGTAAGATATCACATTTAATCTTGCTATAGTATTATTAATATTTGTGTGTCTTTATTAAACTATCTCTCTCTTTGTTTTGGTCTATTTCGTTTTATTACTTTTTCAGAGATTTGATTGAATTTGCAAGGAACAATGATGATTTAACAAAAAAGATTGCTTATCGCGGAAGAGACTTTATATGGAATAATTTGCGAATGTCAGACGTTATACATTTTTGGAAACAACTTCTTAAAAGTTATAGTAAACTTTTAGCATATAAACCAGTATTAAAAAAGGATCTCATAAATATTAGAAGGGAATAAAGATATTATGATTTTGTACAAATATTAAAGGTGAATCTCGTGCGATATCTTTCTGGATAAATATATAAAAATAAAAGAGAGACGACCAGTGTGTGCGTGCGCGCGTGAGTGTATTTGTCTAAGCAAAATGCGTATATAGCTAATAAATGCAATTGAAAATATGAAATGGTTAAAATAAACATATGTATTTATTAATATTATTTATATGACGATGAAAAATATAATACAATAGAGATTTTGTTTAAGGCACGACAAAATAGCGTGGCAAGTTTCAATATGAATTATTAATATCCTAATATCAGTAGTAACACAAAGAAAGGCATTGCACAATTAAATTTATGTATTAGACGATAATATTCGAGCTGCCTCAAACGATAATCAATAATTTATAATGAGTTTAAAATAAGATCATGTAATAAAAAAAAGTCATTTTTGTGTTGTGTACAGAAATTCTCTTATTCAACAAATATTGATGAAAAATACAAAGCCTTTCTTCTTATACTCTGATAATACTTAAAGGCTAAGTATAATTTTTAACAATTAAGTACTGGTCAAACATTCGTATTAGACTAAAATACTTTTTGAAATGTAAGAAAATATAGGATACATACAAGTATTTAGATTGTTTTATAACATCTGTTAATACTGAACGAAGATAGTTTTTTATGTATATAATTTTCCTTGCAGTATTTCTTTTCTATCAAAAGATGATTGTTATATATTTTACTAAATGCGTTTTAAAGTGCATTTTTATTTTACACAATAGAAATGAAAAGAAAAAAGCACTTTATATAAATAAGAATTGTACAGATACATAAATTCTCACACATACAGCACCATTAATGTCAGATCAGTCTGACAATTTGCATATAGTTATATATAACTATACGCTCTAGATATATGTATATGTATACATATACATATGAACGCACACACATACATACATATGTGTATAAATATATATATATATACATATATATTTATATAATATATATACATATACATATACACATGATTGTATATAAAACTACAAAATAAACAAGCTATCAATGACAGAAATCGTAATGAAAGCATTTATATAAAAACAATTCACTTCAGACATACGCAACGTCGCATAATGGAAGCGAAATCAAACACTTAGTTTGAAATGACGTGTAGAAAAAGTTGCGCTTGAACATATCTGGCATTTACAATTCTTTTCAGAGAGTTGTATAAATTACAAAAATACTTTCTAAGGCACTTGCACCATAAGATAACAGTCACTTTAGAATAGTCGCAACGCAGCAACGATGACACTAGTAGTATAGATATTTACATACATATAAAAATGTATTGCGCATGCAAATATGATTAGATATTTCATGAAAGTAATACATAGGCTGTAATTTCTTACTGTTACATAAAATATTTTAGGATTTACATTACATAAGTAGGAGAGTCTATAATATTCACATAACATTTTTAATTGATCAACAAATATTTTTTAATTACAATATTGTCAATAAAGAATCCGATTATTGCTTGTCATGTCGCAATGCCCGAATATCCTTTTATACACCTCGCGATTTAATCAAACGATTGGATCCCCAGGAATTTATAAGTGCCTTTGATGTTTAAAGTCTTTGCGAATAATGGACACGCGAATAAATAGGCAGTGTAGAACATTCTATGTTACGTTACTGCGTGTGAAACATTATTGAAAGATATTTATATATATATATACATACATATATATATCTTTGAATAGTGCAAATTTAAATACGTACTATAGCTGCGTCGCGCAACGACGCACCTCGACAGTTTAATTGCGGCGGAAATATTGTGCTCGTCATAATTTTCTAACTATCTACTTAATTACCGAGAGCGCAAGTTCTTGAACGCGTTTCGATTGGCATTCACTTTTCGAAAATGGAAAATAAACAAAAATTCTATCGACACCTTTCGATCACATTCGGCGCATGCATATCGATTCGAGTTTCAAGTCACTACATCGCTTCTCAAAGTCGACGATCTCAAAGCCTTTACGTAGCCACGACGAACCTCGCGATGATCATTGTGACGATGCTGAGCAAGAGTTGCTGTGTGCTTTCCAATGAATGCAACGAATTCACGGGCGCCCCAGAGTTTTCGTGATGGTGATTCGACGATGTGACGAGCTCGTCGGTTCCTCCTGTCGAATTCAAATTTGAATCGTAGTGGCGGGTAATTTCTCGAATGACACGCCATTGCAGAACGGCGCGTGCGCATATTCGAGAGCGCGAAACAGTACAGGCACGAAGATGTCGGCCGTTAACTCTCGCTCTCTTGCCGCCGTTGCCGGTTGACTGTTGTTGTTTGGAACTTTATTTGGTTTTTCCGCGTGTAAATAATCGGGATATTTGGCACGTGTACCGGTCGTGGGTCGCGCCGCTTTGACCGCTCACTTTTTCCCGAATTCGGGATGTACATTGTTGTCGTCTGGAAAAGGTGATTGCTCCCGGTTAATGCGGGTGGTAGATCGTCTCCTTCTCACGGTTTTTTTTTTATACAAGAAAACATCGCTGTCGTCTGTTCACAGCTCAGTATTCAGTACTATTCTCAGGTAATTAATTTTATGAATATAATTTTTACTAATTTTAACACGCTTGAACTTTTTATATCGGTAGAAAGAGGTTACATGACAATTAAGCTCAAGACGCAATGAGGAAATATTAGGAATAAGAATAAATGCTTGCTTTCCAGCAAGGACATAGTCAGACACTGTGTTACATAGTGTCTGACTGTGTCCTTGCTGGAAAATAAGGAATATTAGGTTTGTTCCCGCAAGCTCCAACATGCTCCAACCACAGCTCCTACTCACTCTATCAAGCGCGTTGGAGTGAGTAAGAGCTATTGTAGGAGCATATTGGAACATGTTGGAGCATGCGACGCGAACAAACCTACAGAGATTTCAACCTATAGGCCTGTTCTTTTTGGCTGAACTTCTGCTCCGGTTCATCTTTCTTCCTCTTCTTTCTTCCTGGAGAGAAAAGGTTCAGCCAAAAGTTCAGCCAAAAAGAACAGGCCTAATCAGAAACCATAGGTTTGTTCGCGTCGCATGCTCCAACATGTTCCAATATGTTCCTACAATAGCTCTTACTCATTCCAACGCGCTTGATAGAGTGAGTAGGAGCTATGTTGGAGCATGTTGGAGCATGTTGGAGCTTGCGACGCGAACAAACTTATGGTTTCTAATTAGGCCTGTTCTTTTTGGCTGAACTTTTGGCTGAACCTTTTCTCTCCAGGACAAACCTCATGTATTCTAGCGTAACTGGTATCTGATAAGTTCAAATCTTAATATTTATTCCTGTTCCTAATATTTGTTTTATTGTGCGCAGGCCCTTAATGTCGAGTAACAAATTTCACATTCAACATGGCTGCCTGATTTACAAGTACCGTCGTACGTTACTAAGCGAATAACTAGAACTATGATTGCAAAATTAAATAAATTAAATTCGTAGGCTACGAATTTGATTTGAGAACGTCATTACAAATCCAGGTAGAACACGGAGTTATAATTTAGTCATAATATCACAGAACGTCATCATGATGTCATTTGATACTTAAAAATTGATTTATAAGTGACAAATGAAGTCATGATGATGTTCTCATGATATTATTATGACTTCTATGTTCTACTTGGAAAGGCAGCCATTTCGTTGAAAGCACCAAATACATGAGAATGTCAATATATGAGATATTTTATAATGTTAAATAGCTTAAATAGGAGTTAAAGATCCCCATGCTAGAAGTAAGGAGCATGTCTCAAATCTTGATTAAATTAAATCTTACAAATTTCAACTTTCTGTGTTCTATCTCGTGACCATTCTCGTTTGCAATTATCAAAAACAATTGCAAGTTCACGATTGTTAGAAAATCCGTCGGCAATAAAACTACTCTCTGAATTACTTGGAGTAAAATCTCACTCCAAAAAAATTAAAATATTGCCACTATTGTAAAATCGAGTGGAAACGTTAGCACTCTTGAAAAAGAGTAGCAGATTTTTACTCTTTTGAAATGAGATTCACTTCAAAGGAAAGAAATCACATTCCTTTTTTGGAGTGAATCTCATTCCAAAAGTGTAAAATTTCACTCTAAAAAAAGAGTGAAAATCTGCCATTCAAGAGTGCAAATATTTTTATTCTTTTTCAATAGTGGCAGTATTTTCACTCTTTTGGAGTGCGATTTCACTCCAACAAATTTAGAAAGTAGAAAATTATATATTTATTTTTTACACTATTTATTTGTATATTTTTCTAATAAGTACTTATTTTTCAAAATGCATTATAACCGGAACGAATATAATGTACGCAAAGTATAAATAATAGTAAAATTAATTTAAAAAATAAATTTTCCGAGTATAAAGGTTATCTTCATTTTTTAAAAATGAAATTACGTTTCTTTACACAATTGATCTCATTTTTCAATGCATAAAAGAAGTATTAAGGTACGATTATTACAAATTTATCTTTCTCAAAAATAATTTTATCATTATTTGCCCTCTCAAACCACTACTTGTCAAAAACATTTTCGGTATCTTCTACCTGAGAAAAAATGTTTTATATATAATTATATATAGTTGTAGGTATATAATTATATAAAATTGACATATTTTAGTTGTATATATAATATTTCCATACATATAACATTTTTTCCTGGGTATATATTAATTCTTCGAAATATTTATTTACGACAATTAAAATAGAGAATATCTTGTTTAATATAAAATAAATGAACAAACAGTAGAATAAAACCGAAATATAATATAAAAGTACAAATTTCATATAGAAATATATACATTAAAGAAATATTTTATAGCTCTTCTCATAGGTTCTCATCAATTCTAAACAATTATCTATATGGAACAGAAGTAATTCAAACTCTCTAAAACTTTTAGAATGAATCTCACTCTTAAAGATTAAAAATTGAGCCAAATTTTTTTTTAAACTGTCTCCATTTTCACTCTTTAAGTTATTCCCTCTTAAAGTGAAATTCCACTTCAAAAAATTTAGGGAAAATAAAATATGAGTAAAATAAAAATATGGGTAAAATAGATCACAGAGAAAGAATACAGAGAGAAAACTTATAAAGTATCAAAAGTCAAGAGTGCGTTTTCTCATAAAACCCCATCAATAAATTAAAGAGAGAGGGAAGGATTGTGTGCGATTCAGGACTAATGCGTGTCATGATATTGCAAAACACATGAAAATATTAATTTTCGACGGACACGATGGACATCTGAGATTAAATACTTGTGCAACGAGGCGTGCATGTAAAATACTATATTTGCGAATACAAATATTTTTTAATGTGAAAAAACAAACAGGAGAAAAGAACGAATGAAAAAGCAGAATCGAAAGGAGCAAGGATTTCCTGTAAGAGTCGATCTATTGTTAGAAGGATGTATTGTTACAAGTCGAAAACACGCTTTTATGCTAGATTAAGTTCCAAACAACGTAACTGCCAACGGCAGTGATTCATGCACCTCCCTGTTTCACGCTCGTGTCAGGTGCACGCGTGTGCTCTCATGTGCATGTATTTTATAGTAAGTTGGTGCGTGTTTTTTGATGAGATGTGTAAACTTTGCTATTACTCACTATCTTCTACGTGTGTCATTAAAGTTATGAGATATGCAAGATACAGGAAAAGATTCATGCTTTACATATATATCACATACAATATTTTTACTGTATTAATAATAAAAGTCACTCTAGGGGAGATCGAAAATAGAGATAGAGTACGCGTTAAGAAACAAAACAGGCATAAATAGTCGACGCGAACCATAACCGTAATGTGCTAACGAATTAAAGCCGTCCGTATAAGCGAAAAACAAGAACAAGAGAGAGAACGTAAAAAAAGATTCTTATTTCTAAGATATATATTTACTTTTGTCTTGTCAAACTGGATGCGGCAACGATGATATACGGCGACCTTTCGCGCTATCTATCACCATTTACTTTTTGATGTTGAAGTTCTCAGAAATCAAATACTTTGTTTTCATCCATCGCCTGGCTAATAAATACTCTGGGCTTTAATGTACAGCAGACTTATCGATAATAAGTGATAACAAGTGAAATTGTTAGCTTTCTCGATAAAGAATCGATGTAAGCCATGAAATGAATTTGAGGAATTGCAAAACGAAAAAATCTTCAATCCACGAATTTGTAATACGCGATGTTACAATATAATAGCGATTAGATGTTTAAAATTATGTGCGACATTAAAGTTAACAAATGATAACGTTATAATGTTAATAAATTAATGTTTTATATGCACTAAATGTTAATCTAGTTTTATCAAACACAAAATTATAATAACGTGATTATTTATAGTTTTCAATTTCGAGTATGCTTGGTTAGTGATGTGAATAGGCAATAGAAAGATTGCCAAAATAATAGCATTAACGTTTCTATGCGTATACAGACGAATCGTGCAAGCATTACTTTGTTTTCCTATGTTTCAGTCACCTAATTTCGTAACTTCCGTGTCGATATATCAGACTTGAATTATGATGCGTTTAGTAACGTTCAAAATATGTTTCGTTTGTACACGAACATATGCGTTGTGTCATATCCGATTTTAGCGATCTGTGACTCGATAAAATACGAAAGAGTCATTTTGAATTGTTCATGTTCGTAATATCTCAGGATATGTTACAACATTACAACAATAATTTAACTCGCGAACCTACTAGTTTATTTTAATATTTTATTCCATCTAAATTTTGTATTGATTGTTAAAGAATTAAACCTGATTTTTCTTTTTGTTTTTAAGTATTGCATGCACGTGTCTTTTTCACGCATAGTAGCCCCAGTATCATAGCCAGGTATACGAGACACCAAAGTTTTTAATATCGCATTTCCTGCCTGCCTTCATGCCAAGGAGATTATTTGTTTCCACGTTGATTATTTTCAGTGAATTAGAACAGAGCAAAGCACACAATACTAGGTATCCACTGTCGCGATTTTCCAGAGTATTAATTTAAAGGAAGCGCAATTCATGTAAATTCGCGGAAATTTATTCATCTCGTTGTTCTAGGAACATTCTTATTATGACGGTGTATTAACGGCAACTAATATAAGTACAGTGACAGTAATTACTCTCGACGCACGTGTCCATAAAAGCCGAAGAATAAACTCTATGATAGAATACGAAAGAGTCTGAAATTAACTTCATGAATTAATTAAAAAACCAAGAGTTATTCTTCGAGATATTTACTTCAAGGGATACTCGATTCAGGATGAGCATTGTCGCAGACAATGGATATCTTTACGTTTATTCGAGGGTAGGCAGGATTCGATAGAGATTTTGTACCTGCGTCTAGAATGATGTCACCAACGCTGTCAAGATTACCGTAATCGTCGTATGTATCAGCCACGTCCAGATTACTGGCAAATGCGAATGGCCAGCGATCATTACCTATTGTCCCTTTGTTAGCGGACTTGCACCCAAACCACCAGTACGCTGTTGATCTCGGGAAGGCAGGATTAGCATCGTCAACCTGGTAAACCAGAGAGATAATTGTTTCATATAATATGATATTTTTATAGAATTTTATTTCTCTACATATATATCTGTTACGGGCAAAGTCCGCAAGTGGGCAGTGTTCAGCATTGGCTA